TTGGACTTTGACTCATTAGTCATCTGGTGCGTAATGTCTTGGAAATGTTGTCCGATAGCACAGCCGCTCCGATTCGGCTGGGATGGAGACCATCTGTGCTGTACAGCCTCGGTCTTTCCCAAAACAGATGACAGTTATTTACAAAGTGCAGCCTCTGTTCATTACACAATGACATTAACCATTCATTTAATGCAAAAAGTCTACTGAACCTTTCCTGTCCTTGTCTGTACGTGGGAAGCGGTCAAGACATGATGATCGCTGCTTTAGGCGCTGTGCTGCGTACCGTCTCGATCAGGCTCCTGTAGTCCTTCTTCAGAACCTCCGTCTGCCGCAGCCTGATGTCGTTCGCTCCCGCGTGCAGCACAACAGCTCCGACGCGCTCGTCCCCGTTCAGGATCTCGGGAACCTGTGCAGCAACATCAAGAACACGAGCACCAGGAAAGCAGTGAGTGCGCACTTTACCTTTATCCGAATTAGCGCGGACATGGCGGACTATGGATGTGCCGATGATCACGGCGTCATCGCGTTCCGGCTCGCGAAGAGGGGAGAAGCGGTTCCGGGTGGAGATCTCGAAGACCGGGAGGGGCGGAGAGGCAGCTCTGGTCCTGGCTCGTGTCTTCCGCTGTGCGATCCATGGTCCATGTTGTTTCGGTGCCGGAGTGAATGAAGCCTTAGATGATCGCATCTTCCTCGGCAGAGTAACGTACGGCGTAGATGAACTCGGAGTCAAAGAGTGATTTGATTTGTTAGCGTCGGCGCGTGATGCTTCAAGCGTTGAGCACCGATCCAGCAGCTCGGCTTGCTTCACCAGCAGACCACGGATCTGTTTCTCGACGTATTCCAGCTCCTGCTTCACCGTGAAGAGCTCGAATGTGTCTTCATCTGCACTCAGAGGTAATGTTAGACACGCATCTGATATGTTCGCCATTATAACGGATGATCAGTAAATTAGTAGTGATACTACAACTATCACTACTAATTTAGGATTGAAATGTCGGAAATAACCAGGATTCAGTGAAACGGGTGTAAAATGAGACGATCAATAGGCGAGAGGGCACGCGTGGAATGCTAGCGGGCTAAAGGCTAGTAGCCAGGATTTAGGGAGGTTGGATATAAGTAGCGATATCAAAGCAATCCAATTGTTTTTTATAAGGAATACTATCGAGGATAAGTTCACATAATATAAAAATAGAAAGTGCTTGTTTATAAATAAGTGGTAAAGAAGAAAATCAAGGATTTGTGAAGAAATTCTCCGGAGCTACAAACACAAACAACCGAATGCATCTAATGTAGATGCATTAGGAACACAAGCAAGACTACGAGCTGAAACTACTTGATGTTGTTGATCTGTCAGTCTATCGGGGGAATGAAGAGAGAATAAATCGTGCTTTATACAACCCTACTCTCCATCGTATGATAAAGTCCTGCTGATCCAGAACGCCAGCAGAAGCATCAACACTACATCAACACATCTTTAATAAAACTCTGTTCACCGCATGTGTTTTATGGGCCGCAAACAGAGCAATTGATGAATCAAGAGTTGTCTCTAATAAAGCTGAATGCCATAGAAAGGACGGGTGTGTGAGTGAACAGAATGGCATTGACTTCATGATGTTGAAACTGAAGTGCAGGTCCGTGAATGAGACGCAGGCTTTAGCACTGAAACACAGCAGGCAAACGCTGCACTACTGACTCCAGAGTGTTCGTCCCGTGTGTGTGTCGAATCCTGATGTGTGTCAGTTCTACAACAGCAGTGAACAGACTTCATTAACCCTCCGACATCAGGCCTGATGAACATGTACAGGACACAGTCAGCCAGCGGGTTCAGGAACAGGAGACATTCAGTCAATTTCCAAAATATATGATAGAAGTCAAGCCTCATGGGAAAAAACTTATATATAATGATCAGGATTATGTTGGGGAGAATGAGAAAAGTGTAAGTCAGAAGCACCAGCAACAAACTGCCCAAAATCTTTCTGCGCTTTACAGAAGTAAGAGATATTGCGCGTGAAAGACTGAGACAAGTGCCGATAAAACACAGAATGATTATCGGGTAGGGAATTAAAAAGCCGATCGATCGGGACAGAAGTTTAAACAGCCGATAGTAGTTAAAGTCTGCAAAGATCAGAGGAACAAACCAGACGATCACAGAAATAACACAGCAGACTTTCAGTGAATGATGAGTTCTGTACCAGATAGGATGAGAAACCAGAAGATATCGTTCAAGAGCAACACATGCCATAAAATACAGACCCGCAATCAAACTATACCAATATGCCCTATACAGATCAGCATACACCTTCAATGACCAGTCGAATGTGTTCGTTAATCTACAAATGATCTGAATGAGATCTGACAGAATCAAATGAATAACAAACACTGGAGTGGAGCGCTGAGATTTGAGAAGAGCACACAACGCACACAGAGTTAAGATCATGACTACAATCTCAATGCCGGCAATGGTCCTGAAAACTACTGGTTCTGCAGCATAAAGTTTACTGAAAAATACCCTCATTTGATAGATCCATTCATCATAACCTCCTCTTGCCTCAACTATAAGTTTATCAAGCAACGAGAATACTTTTTGTGCGAAAAAACAAACAAAAATAACGACTTTATTCGACTTTTCCTTTTCTTCATGCGCGAGAACTGAACTGAGGTAGTTGAAGGAGTTCGCAGTTCTTGCGCATGCGTCGTAGAAAATCTAAGGAAGTCTCGTTTCTGGCCTACAAGGAAGAAAAGAAATAGTCGAATAAAGTCGTTATTTTTGTGTGTTTTTTCCAGCCCGATCTCATGAAAGTTCGTATCTATGGCACGAATGTCATTTCTCGTGGCATTTATACGCCAAAAACAGTTTTTGCGTGTATTTGGCACGCGATTTTCGCGTACATATGATACGCACTTTTTTGCGTATAATACGCACGAACTCCCCACCCCCCTCCCCCCTAAACCTAACCCAGGGTTTTTTAGTGCGTACCATATACACGAAAAAAACACTTTTGGCGTATAAATGCCACGAGAAATGACACTCGTGTATAGATACGCATCTTCATGAGACTGTGTTGGTTTTTTCGCACAAAAAGTATTCTCGTCGCTTGATAAACATATAGTTTAGCCACGGTAGTCACTTGGGATATTTAAACATTTTCTTCATTGACTTTCTGGGCCGTCAAGAGGCAGTCCTTTAGGAGCCAATGTGGTAGTGATTCGGCTCTCAGATTTAATCAAAAATATCTTCATTTGTGTTCCGAAGACGAACGAAGGTCTTACGGGGTTGGTACAGCATGGGGGTGAGTAATTAATGACCTAATTTTCATTTTTGGGTGAACTAACCCTTTAATGCTCTGCTAGTTAACAGGCGATGTTTTATTGATGTTTAAAACGTTTTATTTTCCGATATATGGTGACTCAAGCACGCACTGATGTTAAGTCACCATATATCGGAAAACATTTGGAATGGGTCAGACATAGCCCTCCCACTCACAAAATAGTTCCAACGTCCCTGGCGCTGACGCAAGACGCAAACTGTTTCGAACGATTCAGTCCGATTTAATGTACTGGTTCGACCAGTTCACTAAAAAGAACCGGTTCAAAAGAACATTTCGTTCACAAACCGGCCATCACTAGTGTAGGTGTGTGTGTGAGTGTGTCAGACTGTGGCTGTTGAGGTTCATTTGTGTGTGTGTTTCAGACTGAGGTTCATGTGGGCTGAATAAAAGTTTTAAACACATTGAGACACATTTGCACACCGTCTTTATTAAATGCCACTGATTATACATCCAGCATTAATTACAGTTTTTCTCAATTGCTAAAACACTAAAATCTATTGGCTGAACAAAGTTCTCAATTGCCTGAACTCATTAACTAATTGTGGAGTCTGTTGTCAATACCATAAACAATTTCACATGGTAAAACACAATTTGCAGATCTCACTTAGACTTTTCAGCAAAACTCTGAACACATTCTCATTCTCAAAACACATTCTGCACTCTAATGCACATGTCATCCATACTGGTAAACACAAGTGGCAACAATCAAATACAAATAGAGAACACATGTCATTTGATTGAACACAACCACTCAAAACTGATTCAACCTGTTTCAAATGATGTGACAACCAATATTAGCCAGGTCAGAGAGCAAACTGAACTGGTGGAAAGGAGAAAGTCTGAAAATGGATAGAAGAAACAAAGTGAGAGGACGAGGGCGTATGCGAGGTGGGCGATGAGGAGGAGGAGGGCAAGAAAGATGAGGAGGAAGAGGATGAGGAGGGCAAGAACGAGGAGGAGGAAGAGGAGGACGAGGAAGAGGGGGGCAAGGAAGAGGAAGAAGAGGAGGAGGAGGAGGGGGACAAGGGACAATATTGCTTGTGATGTCGACAGTGCTTTTGCCTGACCCAGGCCAAAGACAAGAAGCACATTGATCACGTTTACTCCTTTCATTTGTGTCCCTTTGAGTATCGTATACTATAGTACAGTGCACTGCTGTAGACTGTACAATGAAGAAAATTTGAAATTTGTTTTGAGATTTGTTTTGACATATAGTTCTCCCTGAGAACTATATGTTTTAAACAATGTGTTTTAAATTTTTTGGTGTATTGTTTACTGACTGCTTGATGGTGTATAGCATTTTGATCACTTTGTTTATCTTTTGAGAGCAGTGTTTGAATTTGAACACAGGTAAAACTGTTTTGAGGTGAAAGTTTCATTTTGCAAGAGGAGTCAGAGGTTTTGTAAATAGTGCTTGAAGATGAGGTTTTGTGTTTAATGTTTTCAGAAAATGGAGCAAGGTTTCAGAAATTGTGTTTTAGCAATTGAGAAAAACTGTAAACACACATGTTCATCCAGTAACAGTGAAAGATAGCTGGAGATGTTCATTAAAACAACAGAAAGGCAGGTCAGGATTATGAAGTCATGATCTCTTGAGTATGAAGAATTGATAACAGATATTACACACCAGTCACAGATCATGTAATGTCAAATGATCCATTTTTAGCTAAACTACTTACAACCACCAGTAGGGGATATTTTGTACCCTGTGGGTAAGTTTGGGAAAATTTCAATTTCCGCACTGTAATGTCGTTTCAGCTGTTTCTGTAGGGCTGTGATTGTTAATTTCTGCCAATTGTTATTGTTATCAGGTCCAAAGTAACCCTGCCCTGTGATCTCACCGTTCTTAAGACAACAGGTGGCTCTCCAGTAATACCAAGACACAGTAACTCTTTTATTCAGTCTTTTATTGGTATCAGGAACCACACCAGCAACTACATAAGCCTTACTACCACAGGACTCCAGATCTTCAATAACGGCCGCCTCATGATACTTCCATGCACCCCGATTGAACTCTGAGTCCTGTGGAGCGGCGTTGGTCAGGGTGGAGGTGGCCAGCATGGAGATATGATCATACGTGTGCTGAACTGGGTACAGGTGACCTTTGTCATACTTAGGCTTATTCGGGTCCTGTCCTTTATAGTCACGATTCATAGCCTGATTATTCCTGCTTTTGCGACCGCTAGGTGCCATACATGGCTCAGCATTAGGATCATCCAGCTAGAGGACACAAGACAGAAAGAAACAACTCAAGACTGTTTCAGTCAAAATTCACATTAATTATTGTCATTTTTAATAAATATATACTGGTCCCACTTTAATTAAGGTTTCTTTAACTACCATGTACTAACATTGGAATAGGCTTTATGCGGAGCGTCACATGACCAAACCGGAAAACAGGTCTCATCACATCCGCTTGACATAGATAGTGTTAACGGGCGTAAGAACTGACTACGATATCTGTGGATTTTTAAGGTAATCAGCTAACCTACTTAGTTCACTCTGTTATTGGTGTTTTATTCCATTTAAATATCTAAACGTTACTGTGAAGAAGAAAAAATATAAAACGTTTAAATATCAATGTGAGGGATATTGGTTATGCTAATCTTTGCTCGCTCCTTTTAAGTTATCTTGAGTAAAACCGCAAAAAATTTCATGAAGCTCATACAAAAGACCTGGAAGTTGTGCATAGAGCCTATTAATCATTTGATCCAATGCACTCATTGTGTACATACAAGTTTTTACAATTGTATTTATATTTTATAAAATACCTGCAGGTACTTACAGCTGTAATCTGTAATCACATCTACACTCACCGGCCACTTTATTAGGTACCCCATGCTAGTAACGGGTTGGATCCCCTTTTGCCTTCAGAACTGCCTCAATTCTTCGTGGCATAGATTCAACAAGGTGCTGGAAGCATTCCTCAGGGAGTTTGGTCCATATTGACATGATGGCATCACACAGTTGCCGCAGATTTGTCGGCTGCACATCCATGATGCGAATCTCCCGTTCCACCACATCCCAAAGATGCTCTATTGGATTGAGATCTGGTGACTGTGGAGGCCATTTGAGTACAGCGAACTCATTGTCATGTTCAAGAAACCAGTCTGAGATGATTCCAGCTTTATGACATGGCGCATTATCCTGCTGAAAGTAGCCATCAGAAGTTGGGTACATTGTGGTCATAAAGGGATGGACATGGTCAGCAACAATACTCAGGTAGGCTGTGGCGTTGCAACGATGCTCAATTGGTACCAAGGGGCCCAAAGAGTGCCAAGAAAATATTCCCCACACCATGACACCACCACCACCAGCCTGAACCGTTGATACAAGGCAGGATGGATCCATGCTTTCATGTTGTAGACGCCAAATTCTGACCCTACCATCCGAATGTCGCAGCAGAAATCGAGACTCATCAGACCAGGCAACGTTTTTCCAATCTTCTATTGTCCAATTTCGATGAGCTTGTGCAAATTGTAGCCTCAGTTTCCTGTTCTTAGCTGAAAGGAGTGGCACCCGGTGTGGTCTTCTGCTGCTGTAGCCCATCTGCCTCAAAGTTCGACGTACTGTGCGTTCAGAGATGCTCTTCTGCCCACCTTGGTTGTAACGGGTGGTTATTTGAGTCACTGTTGCCCTTCTATCAGCTCGAACCAGTCTGGCCATTCTCCTCTGACCTCTGGCATCAACAAGGCATTTCCGCCCACAGAACTGCCGCTCACTGGATGTTTTTTCTTTTTCGGACCATTCTCTGTAAACCCTAGAGATGGTTGTGCGTGAAAATCCCAGTAGATTAGCAGTTTCTGAAATACTCAGACCAGCCCTTCTGGCACCAACAATCATGCCACGTTCAAAGTCACTCAAATCACCTTTCTTCCCCATACTGATGCTCGGTTTGAACTGCAGGAGATTGTCTTGACCATGTCTACATGCCTAAATGCACTGAGTTGCCGCCATGTGATTGGCTGCTTAGAAATTAAGTGTTAACGAGCAGTTGGACAGGTGTACCTAATAAAGTGGCCGGTGAGTGTATAATGACACTGATAACTAAACCCATACATACAGTTGTAACAGTCACAAGCCTCTTCTCCTCCTCACCACTAGGGGTGCAAGAGGGCAACATGTGTATAAATCATGTAACATGGTAAAAGGAGTCGGTCTTTATTTATTTAATTTTAACTTTACAAAAGCATACAATGACATTTAACATCAAACATAAGATAAACAGATATTTGGGAAAACATAGTAGCCTACAGATCTTACATTATACTAGCCTGGTTCAACCAGACTCTAGTTCATTTCATTTCCACATAGAGTCTGGAACCGCTCCATTGAGAAACGTTTCCTTCCTTGTAGGCGGGTTCACTATTTAACTTCAAATCTATTGGATCTGCCATAGCCAATCGCTAACGGGGTGTCGTGAGTGACATATGTCACGCGCTGAAGAGGATTATGTTACGAGCGCCGCAGGTTTTGTTAATCTAGGAACAATTATTAATTCGAAATGTATATTTGACACGAAGGACAGTGATATACATCCAACGGTGGAAGCTGTGTCTAATCATTACAAATACGCCCCTGTGGTCGTTTCTGATCTGCCGCAAATGCTGTAACGTTAGCTGCTACAGTGAATGATCAGTCTGTCTCTATCTGCAGATGTGTAATAAACAAAAAATTTTCATATTACGTCTTATTGTTTCTTAATTACCTTAATTTTGGTCTTCAAAGTATGTGTTTGTACATTTTTATATGGCATTTAGTTTTTTTAGTAAAACAAATCAACCATTGCCATCTAAAACTGAAAATCAAATATCTTCAAAGTATGGTTTTTCACATTTTTATTTATGACAATTTTTTTTTTTTAAATCACAACCAATTTGTATAATTTCCAACATGTAAAACTGACACACCAACCTCCTGCACGAGTGCACAAAGGGGCTCAAAATGTTGTATTCATCACAAGAATCAGTAAATATACAGTTGGGAATATGAGCGACTGACATGAGTCCTGAGCGGATCTTCAACAATAGTTTAGCAGCGGGACTCGGGGCTTCCGAACACCGCGAACACCAGGCTAAACCGTCCGTCCAAAATGTCACGGTCATCGTGCACGAGCTGCCCAGCACAAACTTCCAAACTTTCTGCCTCCTTCACTTGGTCCTCAGTTGTGCATCAAGAGGAGAGACGACAACAATCCGGCTTTAAATTCTGTATATTCGGCAGTTTCTTTTCCAACAACGGACCGAATAGCTTTTCTCACGTCTTTCTCCGCTGCCATTACTGAACTGAAACTGACGCGCTTACATCAACGTCATCGTTCTCAGCCACTCCCTCTATTCACTGATTGGTCCTACAAAAAATTGGTTTCTGGAAACCTAAGGATATGGAGCGATCCCAGACGCAGTACTGAAGTGAAATGAAATTGAGCGAAAGTGCGTAGGAGGGCGCAGCCAGGCTAACATTATACAGAGTAAAACATTAAATTCTACAAACAATTTTTTTCCAAATTTGAGATGTTTTTATGCACTTCTTGTTTCTAGTGATTTAAAAAAAAGGAGTATGTAAATGATATCATGCAAAAGCTTAAGCATGTGTGCGTCCCAATTGGAGTATTCGAAAATAGTATTAGTGCGTCCCAAATCGTAGTATGTTGAAATGAGTGTTCCACAGAGACCCGGATGGTCTACTATATCCGGTCAGAATCCGAAGTGCAGATCGGTCTCTAACTGTACGTTCACACCGCTGCCGACTTGAGCTTCCAAAGCGGCCGGAAGTCATTCATTTTCAATGGAAGCTGGCTTTTCTCAACTGCAAGGAGCGTCAAATCCATTGGCGTCGCGTTTTAGGCGTTTTGAGCATCAATCAGAAAGCTGAAAGAAGCTCAACTTTATGGTAACGAGCTGTGACGCGGTTCAGTGGCACGCAGCGGCAAACGCCAGCAACCAATCGGAATGTAGACGTCCTTCACTCTGGCTGATTCCGGTGATTCCTGCTGGTTTGGTATCATTTATGACATGATGTTTTTTTGCTTATATGGACCGCATGAGCGCAACTTTTCTATGACATATTTACGAACGCTCGTTTTAAAGCGGGAATACAATTAATTTGCTCATGATGACACCGATTTGACCGCAAATAATAAGAATAATAGCTAACAATTTTTTCCCAACCAAATGTGACCAAAACGTTTTTTTAAAAATGCTGTCATTAAAAAAAGGTTTTTTCAATGTATTGGTTGTTTTTTTTCTGTTTATTCCATTTCATGTTGTGACACTTTTATTCTCCCTGCAACGTCAGAGCATTCAAAGCGGCAACAAGCTTCCCCGTACTTTTTGACAAGCGTCCTTGACAGGGCGGCCAGAGTTTCTTTGACGCTCAAGTCGGCAGCGGTGTGAATGTACAGTAACGGCTAATATTACCCACAACCCATCGCGTGTGGACGAGGATTCGGTTAGAACTACAAACATGAGTGAAAAGTGTTAAACAACTACAGACATGGAAGACGCTTGAGTCCGGCGGTTATATAGACAGGTTTAGATAAAGGGGTTTAAGTGATTCATTATCAGTATCTAACCTGACGAAAATGTATTTATTCAGTGTTGTCTACATTATTATATTGCATCTGCAGCAGCATTGTGAACTTTTGTAAAGATACGTTTAGCCATTAACTTTTCCAGTTTTTTTCAGTCGCTAACAAGCATTTCTCCAAACAGTTTTCAAAACTCTAAACACAATTAGCTACAACATCAATCTTTTGTGGCCATACCATTCACACGTCATGTCGTTTTCACACAATATGCTGTCAGTGAACACATTTCCACAATGCTTACATTTTCTTAACAGACAAGCTATACCTCTCAACAAAATTATGGATTGTTTTTGTAGTATTTACAAATGTTAACACACACCATCCCAAAATAGCAAAAACAATATAAACCTTAGATACAATATAAAAACCTCTGCTTCTGCAGTGATATCAGTTAAAAAACAATATATCTCAGCTGATAATAAACAAACAATTGAATAATTGACCCACAGCTTATTTATGTTGGGTAAATTGACCGTTATCATTTTGTCTGTTTAAATGGGAAAAAATCAAAGATAACGTCAGTAGACTATGGAGTACCGCAAGGATCGGTTTTAGGCCCTCTGCTATTCTCAATATACAGTATATGCTGCCACTTGGTAATATTATAAGAAAACATGGAATTAATTTCCACTGTTACGCTGACGACACTCAATTATATATTTCATCACGACCAGATGAAAACACTAACTCATCTAAAATGACAGAGTGTCTCAAAGATATAAAATGCTGGATGACGCGTAATTTCCTGCTATTAAATTCAGATAAAACGGAGGTATTACTTATTGGTCCAAAAAACTACTCGCAAAACCTCTTACAATACAACTTTAATATAGACGGATGTCCTGTTACTTTATCCACTACAGTAAAAATCCACTATACTTATATACAGTTGAATAATTACCTGAGGTTCGATGTACCAAACATCACACCGCCCGACACCTTCGCTCCTATCAAACACATACGCCGAGTAGATGGGGATCTTCCAGTCTGTGTTGTACAAAGTTGCGTAAACAAACTTTTGCTCATCATTCTCGTCCCAAACACACTGGCAGATCTCCTTGACTGTGGTGCCCCATGATGGTGTGAATTTAGGAGGGTCATTATTCAAAAAGAACTGATAGCATTTAGCAAACCCTGACGAAATCTCACTCAGAGAGAGACAAGGCAACAGAAGAAACACAAGCAGCTTCATCACGGAGCTCAGACTGAGAGAACAGACACTGAACCTGGATCTCTGTGTCAGAAGAGTGAGAGAGAGTAGTACTCTGTCTTTTATAGAGTTGAAGACACGAGGGGAGGAGACGGAAACACACGTTTGCAGGTTTCACTACACGAGAAAGTGTTAAAGAGCGGAAGAGGTTCACATGCACTGCGATGATCTTCAGCTCATTAAAGGATTCACTGGTGTTTACACTAATAACTATCTTATGTTTGTTTTCAGCCAATTAGACTGCGCAGTCACATTTTATTTATTTAATAAACAGGTTTAACAATTACAGAGTGAATCTGTCTTTCAAAAAGCATATTATGACTGAAACAAAACTGAACATTACAACATAATAACATGATTATATGTGTGTTAAAGAGCTTTTTCTAGAGCGCTGTAAGTCTGTGAGTAGACATTTACATCTGACTAGAGGTCTTCACGGGTCCAAAAATTCATGCCCGACCCGAAAGAGACCTGTAATGTGCTACACCGAACCGACCCGGACCAGTCGTTCATTTCAAAAGTTGGACCCGGACCCGACCTGGACCCGCCCAGACAGCAAACTGACATTGAATCAACGTGGAAACGACGTCTCTCATGACATTGAAACAATGTTGATTTTGCTCATCGAATTAACGTTGAACCAACGTCAGACGCGGCATTCTTCAAAGCGAAATTGAAAATCGAAAATTGGTTTGCTTTCATAACGTTGAAACAATGCGTTGATTTCAAGTTGATTTTCCGTTAGTTTTGAAAGAATGACGCGTCTGACGTTGGTTCAACGTTAATTCGATGAGCAAAACAATGTCAGATCAACGTTGTTTCTATGTTTCCACGTTGATTCAATGTCAGTTTGCTATCTGGGCGTCTATTATTTGAAAACTGGACCCGAACCCGGCAGGAAGACACAAACCTGACTGGACCCGATTGTCACATATTATTTCACACGAGTTGCGAAGAATAAAACTTTTTGTCTTACCTAATTTTAGTAGCCGTCGTCTCACTTCCTTGTACGTTACTGACTGACTGATGCATTAATCCACCGACAAGAAAGTTCTATCCATGTTATTTATCTCATTATTCCAAGCTTAATCCACTCATTATTTCAGCTTTAAAAGTCCACTTGATGTCACAGTGATGGATGAAAAATGCAGCCTTGCACATGTACATTCTGACTCGAGTTAACTCGCATAATAACTTTAACTGTTTGTCCTTTTGAACTATAACGATTGCATGTTCAGCTTGATCATATCTGTGCTCTCTGCTCTTCATTGAGTCTAAATCTGACCACCAAAACTTTAAGATTAAACAAGACAGTTCATTTATATTATATAAACATTGAAGAAAATGTAAAGCGCGGTTTGGCGGAAACTCTGCTCTGGTTGCCATAGAAACATGACACGCGCTTGAGATTGCACTCCGATCACACGGTTATTACCAGCCCGCATATTATATTAACGATAACAGGTGCCATGTGAGTAGTATTTTGCCGTTTTGTCATATAGCGTCCTATATGACGCTAAAGGATGAGAATGCGTTGGTATTACACACAATGTTAACCCTCTGAGACCTAAGGGTATTTTTACAATAAATTTTCGGTCTGGTGTCATTTACTAAAAAAGCTTGTAAAATATCAACCCTTTGGTGCACAGACAATTGACACACCTCTTTTTTTTCAGGACAAATTGAACTTTCAGCATATTTGTGTTACATTGATGTCACCTGAATGTAAAATAAGTTATGGGACCATAAAGACAAATGAAAAAATAAATCGGAAATGGAATCACTCAAATATTTATTGAAATCACACACAAATAAATAAAAGCTAAGCAATTTTCCTCTGGAAAATAGTTTGTTCATGTCTTTGGAGTCCTGGAGCACAGGAATAAACATTATAACTTGTACAGAACAAAAACTATTGACATTTTTCCAAAAGAAGTCCAGGCGTTTGGGGCCTCATGAAATTCACTGGTGCCAAGCCTCAAAACAGTTCCTATAAGCAATCACACAGAGGGCCACATCACAGGTTTTGCATTTCTATTTTATTTATTCTTTTATTTATTATGTTCTTTTTATTCTTTTATAATACATTTATACTACTATAATACTTTTTTACAGTAAATAAATAAATGGCACTTCAGCTGGGTCTATCCTGGTAATCTAGTTCCTCATCTGTCAAAAAGCTCTGTTCTCCTGAAAATCCATCATCCTGCAATGCACCACAATAGACCAGCGCTTTATTTACGTCCATTTCGCTGTGTTTCTCTGTGAATCGCGCGTCTCCGTGCGTCTCTCTATCTCTCTACACTATAGACGAATCCGGCGAAACTACCGGAAGTAAGCGGGGCGCCATTACTGAGCTGTTGCTGGGTAGCGTTGCGCCATTGCCTCCTATTGTTTTAGTTGCAACTTGCGTCCACTGGAATAAACAGCCCGCGATTTACGACTGTCACTAACGTTGCAACGTTATCCCTTGTATAATGTCGAGTGGGTAAACAGTTTCCGTTATAAATTGTTCCAATGGTGGCAGTAAAATTTCAATTTTGAAGAGAAAACACTGTGAATACCCCGGGTCTAGTGCCCCTGTCTGGTGCCGTACGGTTTACAGATTTCCTGGGCGAGTACAAGACGTGGACATTCGCGTATAATAACAATTATTTAATGACATAAGTAAAAAAATATAATAAATATGTGATATAGTGATCAGCAAAATCTCCTCTCTTGCTATTTTTTCTATTAAATTAACATGCTATGGTCATTAAATGGCTTTCCTGAGCTAAATGTAACGTTATGTGACATAATTGTTCTCCCGCTGTTATATTGACCTCTTTCCATGGTTTAAAAACACTAATTGGTCGATATTATGTATACTTTCTAGCTGTAACGTTACCTTACCCTTGCCTGTTGCAATGTGAAAATGAGATAAATAATGGACACAAATGAAAAACATGAATTTGTTTATTTGATTTCATTCATTTATTTATTTATTGTTGCCAAATGGACAGATCTTTTTATAGTTTCCTCGTTAGCAAACGTTAGCCTAGCTAGCTTGCCAAGCTATTTTCATAAATAACATTAATCTGTAAGATCGTTTGTACCTTCATCTGTGACTGGAGGCCACTGCAGTCACAGATCAAACCAACAAGTCATTCTGCCTGGCTGTAGCTGTCATCGAGGGTGAGTTTGCGTTATCACCGAGGTTTGTTTACATACCGGTGCATATGTCTATATGCCTGTGTAACAGCTCAGTAATGGCGTCGCCACAAGATGGCAGCCTACACAGAACGCTCGTCGGATTCGTCTATATCAGCGCTTGGTTCATGCGTAATGACGCACACCAATGTTTACAACGGATCAGCCTGTAATTGGTCAAAAACCATCACGTGAAAACATCACGTGATATCCAGAATGGCCGCTAGCGTCGAGCTAGCGGCAAAAATGACCGAATATTTATGAATTATGGACTTCAAGATTATCAAAGTTTGACATAAAGCGTTTGGATTTATTGCTGAAAACCTGTGAAAGGAAGCACAAGTTCCAGGCTGGATAGAAAACCTTCTGTAAAGGCTAGAAAGACACGAAAGACACCCCCGTGATGGCTAGCTCGTTAGCTTTCTGCTGGAAAAAACGGTAAGAAAATCGATAAATCTGTCATCGAGTTATGTAAACATTTATCGGAGGTGACGTGTGGCATCGTCGACGACGCCGTCGGGCTCAGGGGGTTAAACAGACCCGGGACCTGAAGTAATAGATTTGGACCCGACCCGAACCCGGCTGATCATTTAAAATATAGACCCGAACCCGTACGGGTCCCGGGTCGGGTCCCGGGCCGACGGGTCTCGGGTGCACTGTGAAGACTTCAACATCTGACTAAAGTACTGTTCCCTTCATACTAGAAGAAAAAAGCTAAGCAATAAAATGATCCACATAAAGTGCTTTACACAGTTGTTTGAGGTTACTTTACTGGCCTGTGAATGTAAGATATGACGTCTCTGTGATGTTTCAGTATCAAAATCATTTGAATAGATTGGTTAGATGTGTTCTCTGTAGTCTTCATCGTTCCAGATCTCACCAAACGACTGTATGATGTTTTATTAACAAAGTTCGGGAGGAGCACGTTCAGATAATTAAACACATGTGGAGCACATTCAGGTTATCAAGCCTAATTAGACATGAGTGGAGCACACTCTGTTAATCAACCCAATCAACAAGTTAGAGGTGTGTATATATACACAACAAACTTACCTCAATTCATTGACAGTTTAACAGCATCCCTCCACCACCCCATCTCCTCACTTCTTGTCCTACTGTAAATACTCTTACAACAACGGGGGGAGCACTCTGGGTTCGGGCAGAAAGCCGAGCTCGGAGCCCTCCCCCCGGACAGCACGCCAAATACGCATAATCTTCTCTCTGTTTAATTGATGTAAGTGTGAACTCGTGAAATAGGCTATGTGCACAAGCGTATGTAGCAAGTGGCTCAATTTTAGTGACTACGCCACCCCAGGTTAACGGGGAAAACAACCTAAATATAGCACACAAATACGTTCCACCTAGAAAAGGCAAGAGGCATGGGCTTCCGTACAAAAGTTTTATTGACTTTAAAAGTTGATCAACAGTGATTTAAAAACAGTAGTTCACAGGTCATGATTGAATTGAATACAGTCAAGAAAATAATAAGCCAAAAAAAATAAACAAAATTCACAAATAACATCCACAAGAGTTATAATAAGCTCCCAAGATTCTCAATACACTTTTACAAAATTTATAATACACTTAAGGCTTAACGCCCGAGACTGAGGCTTCAGCACAGGAGCAGGCAAGTGTTCCAGCAGCAGGTCCACCATAAGAAACACGGCAACCACACTTACACCCACCCAATTCACTGCAAATAGCCAAAGATAGTGACATGGCAATAATGAAACTGCAATAACATTCTCAGTGAACAAAACCTGCTGTGAAACACAACCAGGAAGGCCAGGAGC